ACCCTCGATACCCGCCCTCTTCGTCTTCGATCGAACCCCTTTTTGGGGGTATACTTTTCTTCCCTGCAGACCGGGCCCCGGCAAGCGGCGGGGCGGCCGCGGACCGTCGGCCTGGCCAGCGGCAGCGCTGATCGGCGGGGCGGCCGCGGACCGTCGACCCGACCCCACGAGGGACGGACAGGGGACCGACCACGACGACGACGACGTCGACGACGACGGCGACGACGTCGACGACGACGGCGACGACGACTACGACGGCAACGACGACGACGACGAGCGAGAGCGAGAGCGAGAGAGAACGACAGCAGGGCCACGAAGGACACGAAGTAGGCCACGAAGGGCGACAGCGGGGACACGAAGGGAATGCCTATGGGGCCACGAAAAGCGCGAACGAGCGGGGGCCACGGAGGGCAGATAATGCGGGGCCACAGAAGGCGATGGGGCCACTGAAGGTAGCAACTGGGCCACGTAGGACAGTGAGGGGGCCACAAAAGGCGACAGCGGGGCCACGAAGGGCATGCACATGGGGCCACGACGGGCGCGAGCGAGCGGGGGCCACATAGGGCATTCGTATATAGGGCCACAAAGGGCGACAGCGGGGCCACTGAGCGCAGCAAAGAGACCACGAAGGGCAGCGAGAGGGCCACGAAGGGCGACAGCGGGGCGATGAAAGGCATGCATATGCGGCCACAACGGGCGCGAACGAGCGGGGGCCACGACGGGCATACGTATGTTGGGCCGCGGAGAACAAGGACGGGGCCACTGAGGGCAGCAACGGGGCCACGCAGGGCAGCGAGGGGGCCACGAAGGGCGACAGCGGGGCCACGAAGGGCATGCATATCCGGCCACCACGGGCGCGAACGAGCGGGGGCCACGAAGGGCATACATATATGGGGCCACGAAGGGAAGAGAGGGAGCCACGAAGGGCTGCAACGAGGCCACGAAGGGGAGCCAGAGGGCCACGACGGGCTGCAACGGAGCCACGAAGGGCTGCAACAGGGCCACGAAGGGCAGCGAGGGGGCCACGAAGGGCTGCAACGGGGCCACGGAACAAAACGAGGGGGTCACGAAGGGCTGCAACGGGGCCACGAAGGGCAGCGAGGAGGCCACGAAGGGCTGCAACGGGGCCACGAAACAAAGCGAGGGGGCCACGAAGGGCTGCAACGGGGCCACGAAACAAAGCGAGGGGGCCACGAAGGGCTTCAACGGGGCCACGAAGGCCAGAGAGATCCCGATGTTTAGGTTATCTGTGAGGGAGTCCTAAGCGTGAGTGCGATTCCTGGGTGCCTGGGTGTCAGGAGCGCGGCGCTTGAGTAAATTGCAAGAAATTCCAACGCAGGGCGATATTCGTCAGTAAATTGCAAGCAAGTCTCCAACGAGAGCGCGACTCCAGAGCGCCGGAAGAGCGATTCCTGAATAAATTGTAAGGAAGTCCCAAGACAGAGCGCGATTTCTGAATAAAATGCGAGGAAGTCTCGGAGGGGAACGGGGGTCCTGGCTAAATTGTGAGGAAGTCTCATGCGGGAGCCTTTGTTGCTGTAACCCGGGGGCCAGGGGCACAGTTTGAGCATCAAGACTTCCCCTGTCAAAAAACAGGGGGCGAGCGTCGAGGGGCACACTTTGATTGAGATAACAGTATGCACCGGTGGGGGGGGACCAACACTAATAATTCAGGAATGAAAATACATCAAACAACAACAATCATTTTAAGACTGTTCGTTCTGATCTGTTCGCGTGTCATTCAATGTGCATACCCCAAACCCTGGATACCCGCCCTCTTCGTCTTCGATCGTACCCCCTTGTAGTTCTTTTCCATTCCTTGCCACGTGTGGTTGGTGAAGCCCTTGAAAACGAAGGGTAACATATAACGGGGGAGAGTGAGGACGAAAGGATCGGATGCAGGGAGGGGAGGGGCAAGAAAGACGGAGGACGATGTTTGCGCTGTCGCTGTTGGCCAGAACACAACATGTCACACCGCTGTTGGAGCGGGCCACAACGGGCGCGAACGAGCGGGGGCCACGAAGGGCATAGGTATAGGGGGCCGCAGAGGGCAGCGACGGAGCCGCTGAGGGCAGAAATGGGGCCACGAAGGGCAGAGAGGGGGCCACGAAGAGCGACAGCGGGGCCACGAAGGGCATGCATCTGGGGGGCCACGACGGGCGGGAACGAGCGGGGGCCACGAAGGGCATACACAAATGGGGCCAGAAAGGGCGACAGCGGGGCCACTGAGCGCAGAAGCGGGGCCACGAAGAGCAGCGAGGACGCCACGAATGGCGACAGCGGGAGACGAAACGCATGCTTATGGGACCACGAAGGGCGCGAGCGAGCGGGGGCCACGAAGGGCAGATAATGCGGGGCCACAGAGGGCAGCGACGGGGCCGCTGAGGGCAGAAACGGGGCCACGAAGGGCAGAGAGGGGGCCACGAAGGGCGACAGCGGGGCAACGAAGGGCATACATATGGGGCCACGACGGGCGCGAGCGAGGGTGGGGAGAACGGCGATGATGATGGCAATAATGGTGATGATGACGATGATGGAGACGACAACGACGACGACGACGACGACGACGACGACGACGATGACGACGGTGATGATGACAACGATGATAGTAATGATTACGAAAGATGATGACGACATTGGTGATGATGATAATGATGACGATGACGATGATGATTATTATGATGACGATGATGATGATGATAATGATAATGATAATGACGATGATGATGATGATGATGATGATGATGATGATGATGATGATGATGATGATGATGGTGATGGTGATGGTGATGGTGATGGTGATGATGATGATGATGAGTGATGATGATGCTGATGATGATGATGATGATGATGATGATGATGATGATGATGATGATGATGATGATGACGATGATGACGATGCTGATGATAAGAGGAGGAGGAGAAGGAGGGAGGAGGCAGCGGAAGGAGGAGGAGGAGAAGGAAGGAAGGGAAGTGAACGCGGGGCGACCCACACCACAGGACCGAACACCACCGGATGGTTGGAAAATACTGTAGATATTGGATGGGATCAACAATGATGATTCTTTAGATCTGAAAAATCAACAGCAAAACAAACAAAATTAGCCTGACGAAGGACCCAACCATATGCAGTTGCGAGTACCACAAGGCAGGTTGAACGAACGAGAGGGAACTTTCTATGGGGCCACGAAACGTTTGAGGGGTGTGTCGACATGTGTGCGGTGGGCGCATTTGAACGCAGCCACTGGGGCCTTCGGTGGAGCTCCTTGTGGGGCCACGAAACGTGTCAGGGGTGTGCCGAATTGGGCATGCGGTGGGCGCATGCGAGCGCAGCCACTGGGGCCTTCGGTAGAGTTCCCTATGGGGCCACGAAACGTGTGAGGGTGTGCCGACATGGGTGCGGCGGGCACATACGAACGCAGCCACTGAGGCCTTCGGTGGAGCTCCTTGTGGGGCCACGAAACGTGTGAGAGGTGTGCCGAAATGGGCGCGGTGGGCGCATGCGAGCGCAAGAATTGGAGCATTCGGTGGAACTCCCTGTGGGGCCACGAAACGTGTGAAGGGCGTGCCGAAATGGGTGCGGTGGGCGCATGTGAACGCAGCCACTGGGGCCTTCGGTGTAGCTCCCTATGGGGCCACGAAACGTGTGAATGGGTTGCCGAAATGGGTGCGGTGGGCGCATGTGAACGCAGCCACTGGGGCCTTTGGTGTAGCTCCCTATGGGGCCACAAAACGTGTAAGGGGTGTGCCGAAATGGGGGCGGTGGGCGCATGTGAACGCAGCCACTGTGGCCTTCGGTGGAGCTCCTTGTGGGGCCACGAAACGTGTGAGGGGTGTGCCGAAATGGGGGCGGTGGGCGAGTGTGAACGCAGCCACTGTGGCCTTCGGTGGAGCTCCCTGTGGGGCCACGAAGCGTGTGAGGGGTGGGGCGAAATGGGCGCGGTGGGCGCATGTGAACGCAGCCACTGGGGCCTTCGGTGGAGCTCCATATGGGGCCACGAAGCGTGTGAGGGGCTTGCCGAAATGGGTGCGGTGGGCGCATGCGAACGCAGCAATTGGGGCCTTCGGTGGAGCTCCCTATGGGGCCACGAAGCGTGTGAGGGGCTTGCCGAAATGGGTGCGGTGGGCGCGTGCGAACGCAGCCACTGGGGCCTTCGGTGGAGCTCCCTTTGGGGCCACGAAACGTGTGAGGCGTGTGCCGAAATGGGGGCGGTGGGCGCATGTGAACGCAGCCACTGGGGCCTTCGGTGGAGCTCCCTGAACCGTATGAGGGGTGTGCCGAACTGATGATGATGATGATGATGATGATGATGGTGGTGATGATGATGATGATGATGATGATGATGATGATGATGATGATGATGATGATGATGCTGATGATGATGATGATGATGATGATGATGATGATGATGATGATGATGATGATGATGATGATGATGACGATGATGATGGTGACGGTAATGCCGATGATGGGGATGCTGATGATGGGGAGAGGGAGGGGGGCAGCGGGAAGGACGCGGGCGCTGTCTCTTCAAAACGAGAACCCAACACCACAGGATGGTTGGGAACAAGCGTGCACACAAAATTTAGACCAAACCCCGAGAACGAGCCGCAACGCGGGTGCATCGCCGTTGCATCAGCGATGCGGGGCCTGAGGAGCCAGGCCCCAGACTGGCCCGCAGCGGCAGTGCACAGGCGACGCGGTGCCACGTCAGGGGGCCTCACTTACGAGGACCTCCGACGTCGTGATCTCGCATAACGGGCGAAGAACGGTATAAAATAAACTTTTTCGCTGTCGGGGGCGCCTGTCCCAGGGCGGCTGGAAAGTTTATACCCTTCCGGTGGCACCGTAGGGGTATAAACTTTCCAGCCGCCAAGGGGCAGGCGTCCCCGACGGCGGGAAAGTTTATGTTATTCCGTTCTTCCCCGCTGACGTGGCTCTCCCTCTCTCTCTCTCTCGCGGGTCACTTTGTGGTGGTCCCGCGGGCCCTGACACGCGCCTCCTCAGGCTCAAATCCCACACGCCAGCCGCACTGGTCTCCGAGTCTGGGCATCCGCTGCTCCAGCCCCACCGAGGGAGCCCGGACGCGTCAGCGTGGCCGGGCCACGGCTCGCCAGCGGCCAGAACGGTAGACGCGGTGGGAGGCCAGCAGCAGAACACGCCGCCGTCGGCTCTGGCCGAGTTCACCCTGGTCGCTGGACTGGTACACAGATCTGAGATCCTAGAGGTCTCCTGGATGGGATCGGAATAGATGGGGTCGTAGGATCGCGCCGCATCGCCGATATATCGGCGGTGCATCGCCGATGCATCGGCGATGCATCGGCGACGTGGGCGGTGCATCGGCGGCGTCGACGGGAATCTAATCGGGCTCCCCATCGAGCCGCATTGCCGATGCATCGGCGATGCGGCGCGAACCTCCGACCCCATCTACTCCGACCCCATCTAGGAGGCCTACAGATCTGAGGGTCGCGCATTAATATTGCGACATGCTGCAGACTCACGCCTGGAGCCCTGGACCCCAACCCTTCTGCGGCATTTCTCGAGCTGGGTCGATCCATGATGGCGCCGGGCCCCCCCGCAGGGCGGAACCGTCCAGTGCGACAAAAAAAACCTGCAACGCCAGGACCTCATGGAGGAGGAGGAGGAGGAGGAGGAGGAGGAGGAGGAGGAGGAGGAGGAGGAGGAGGAGGGGGAGGGAGAGGCGGAGCAGTAGAAGCAGGATGAGGAGGAGGAGACGTAAGACTCGGACTCGGGAGACTCGGATGAAGGCCTGACGGGGCCGACAGGAGCATGACGAGACCCAGTCAAAAATTTGGCGCGAGCTATCGTCCCACGAAAACTGGACAGTCAAACACAAGTCAAAGAACGTCGGCGAACCCGAGTTCCATAGCAGAACAAATAAAGGCAATAACAGAAACTTTCGGCGCTCCGCGCGGATTTCTTGGATAATGCAAGAACCACATTTTGAAAAACACCCGCGCTCAATCCGTGGAACTCTTGCAAATGTTAAAAAAGAATGTGCACAGCGCCAAGGCGAAAGCCACATGTTGAAAACCACCCGCCCTCAATCCATGAAACTCTGGCAAATGTTTATATTTACAAAAAAAAAAAAAAAAAAAAAAAACAAAAAAAAAACATACATACATACATACATACATACATACATACAAACATACATACCTACCTACCTACCTACCTACCTGCCTGCCTGCCTGCCTGCCTGCCTGCCTGCCTGCCTGCCTGCCTGCCTGCCTGCATGCATGCATGCATGCATGCATACATACATACATACATACATACATACATACATACATACATACATACATACATACATACCTGCATACCGGCATACATGCATACATGCATACATACCTACATACATACATACATACATACATACATACATACATACATACATAAATACATACATACATATACACATACACACACACACACATACATACATACATACATACATACATACATACATACATACAGACAGACAGACAGACAGACAGACAGACAGACAGACAGACAGACAGACAGACAGACAGACAGACAGACAGACAGACATTACTTACATACATACATACATACATACATACATGCATGCATGCATGCATGCATGCATGCATGCATACATACGTACATATATATATATATATATATATATATAACACACAAACAAGTGTGCGCCGCGCTAAGGCGAAAGCCACATGTTGAAAATCACCCGCCCTCCATCGGTGAAACTGTTGCCAAAATGTAAGCTTCAGGGTCATAAATGGTGAGAACATATCAGGCGAAACGCCTGGCCCGCCCTAAAAACTGACCTTGGGGTGCGACAGGGAGAAGTGACTTATAAGGAAAAGGAATGGAGGAAGAGGAGGCGGAGGAGGAGGAGGAGAAGCGGCAAGAGGAGGAGGCGGAGGAGGAGGAAGGGGAGGAGGAGGAGGCGGAGGCGGGAGAGCAGGAGAGATAGGAGGAGGAGGAAGAGGAGGAGGAGGAGGAGGACTGGGAGGGTGAGGGAGAGGGGGAGGGGGGGAGGGGGAGGGGAGGGGGGGGAGGGGAAAAAGAGGCGGCGGAGGAGGAGGAGGAGGAGGAGGAAGAGGAGAAGGAGGAGGAGGAGGAGGAGAAGCAGGAGAAGCAGGAGAAGCAGGAGCAGGAGCAGGAGGAGGAGGAGCAGGAGCAGGAGGAGGGGGAGGAGGAGCAGGAGGAGGAGGAGGAGGAGAAGCAGGAGCTGGAGCAGGAGGAGGAGGAGCGCGCTCGTCTAGGCGAACTCGATCCTCACGCCTCCCCGACTCGGGCCGGCCGGCCCTCCTGGTCTAGGCCGGGCCAGGCCTCTGCACGACAGCCCAAGGGCTAGGTCCGGCATGTCCTCCTACAGGCGGAGCTTGGAAGAAACACTAAGCAAAAATCAAACAAAAAAATAAAAAAGCCACCAATAATCAAAATAACCCAAATAATCAAAACAAACATCAAAAAGAGTCAAAAATAGTCAAAAGAGCACGAACAATCGCCCCCATATCATTTTGTCCACTATTCTTTAATAGATCTCCTGTAAAGAGACATGCCCGACTTACCCCCAGGGCCCAGAGCCAGGCCTGGCCAGGGGCCCAGATGGCGCACGCATATGCTGCTGGCCTCCAGCGCAACCCTGAGATCCGACGTCTCGAAAACATTGCAACATTCAGACGAAGGCAGAATCGAAACAAAACAGGACCAACATGAATCGGAAATCTCTGCGAATCGGCGGGTTTGAAGGGCGCATCGGGCGCCTCGGCCGCCTCGGCCATTTCGGAGAGAGTCGCCTCGCTTCGAGGCCTGCCTGACGGCGCTTGGAAGAAATATAGCAGCACGGCGGACAAACTCGACCGGAGCATGGCAAAACAACGACGTGCTGCGCGGGTCACGATGAGCGACATCAGCCGTGGTTCCCGAAGTGGTGGTGTGGTGTCAGGTGAAGGGCCCCAGGGACACACAAAGAAATACACACAAAACCCAAGATTCCCCATAAGTTGTCCGTACTCCTCGGATTTTCGTTTCCCCCCCCCACGTCCCAGATGTTCGTATATCCACCGACCCCTTGTCGGTCTTCAGGCGTGTGAGATTGTTCCCCTCCCATAACCCCCCCCGAGGGACCCCCAACCGGAGATTTGACACACACCCCGGCCCCGAGCGAACGCGTCATGGGAACACAGAGGGCCCCAAAACGGGCCGAGTGGGCCCCAAGTGGGCCCCAAGGCGATCCAAGAGGGCCCCGAATCGTCGAACGATCGTTCCAAAACACCCAAGATGGCATCCAGACGGCCCAAGATGCCTCCAAAAAGCCCCAAGAGGCCTCCAAGAGGCCTCCCACAGGAAAACGTATGTTTTAAACATATTCGCCTCTCGCGCTTTCATACCGTGCAAGACGGCCCAAAAGATCCCTAGGACAGCGCCAAGACGGCCCACAAGAAGCCCCGATGACGGCCCCAGCGGTCCCCCAGACGGCGCCAAAAGGAGGCCCACGGGGGGAACCCGAATCCACATTTCCAGCCTTCGGCCCAAGGACGCCCCCAGGTTGCCCCAAGAAGCCCCCGACACGCCCCAAGAAGCCCCCAGGGAGCCCGAACAGAGCCCTCAAACGCCCCCAAGAACCTCCCAGGAATCGGACAAGCCTGGTGGAATGCAGTTCTGGACGCGCAGTAGTTTATAGAGGGGTCGGCGGATTTGGCGTGAGCCTATAGAATCTTCTGGGGAATCGACGATCAATCGTGTCCGCGTATTTCTTCCCCTCCTGATGCAGGTCGGCTGGCTACAGAGGCCCTGCTGGGGCCACTGCCCCAGCGGGGGGGTCTGAAACCAGGGGGCCGCGGCAACCACGCCTCAGGAAGGTTCAGGCGCTGCGTCGCTGTCTCCCCACGGCGCTACGTCGCTGTCTTCCCGCCAGATCTCCAGACCCCATCTCTCCGTGCCATCTCTCGAGCCGCATCGCTCCGTGAGGGCCCGGGGCCCCGAGCTGGGCGAAAACGCGCGGCTGGAGGCAAATTCGAGGCTCAGGGACGTCCAAGAGGAGGGGGCGTCCAGGAGGGGGACTCACAATTCAAGGCCGAGGCACGTGCGCGGCCCAGGGGAGGGGCCAGGAGACGCATTGAAAGCAGAGGAGGCACCATGGGATCTGGAAGATACTATGGCCCCGGCCATGATGTCCCTCCCCTACAGTAGAGGCCAGTCCACAAGAAACCTTCCCAAAGAAACCGAACCCTGGAACCCCAGGACGTCCATTGACTTTTGGTGTGGGCACGTCAAGTACTCCACAGCAGAACCATCGAAACCCAAGAAACCCAGGGCACCCTGGAGGCAAGCAGGGCGTTTCTTGGCATGGGCCTCCACTGTAGTCATCACCCCCCTCTTGGCCGCACCCGATCGAATCGAGGCGCCGGGATCTCAGGGAGCAGTGAGCTTCGGCCTGCCGGGCCAGTGGCGCGCAGAGTGCCGCTGGAACTCGAGGCGGGCGACCGGGGCCGGGTCAGGCGCGCGAGAACCGCCGCACGTCGCGAAGAGCGAGCAGCGCACGCCCGTGCCCGTAGGGGGGTCGGAGAGAGGAGGGGCCCGACCACAAGGAACCTTCCATAAGAAACCAAACCCTGAGACTCCAGGACGTTCACTGATCTTTGGCGTGAGAACGACACGCCGACCACAGCAGAACCATCGAAACCGACGAAACCCCGGGCACCCTGGAGGCAAGCAGGGCGTTTATTGCCATGGTCCTCCGCTGTAGTATTGGGTCGAACATGCCCCCCTACAGGCGGAATTTGGAGGAAGACTGAAAAATAGTAGAGAAAAACTCAAACATGAATATAAAAATACTGGAAATATCGTCCCCAGACTTTTTTGCACTATGTTGGAATATTCCTCCTGTAGAAGGACATGCCCGACTGAAATCGTAGAGGGGTCGGAGAGAGGAAGACTGGCTAGCATGCGTATCACGCAGAAGAAACCGCATAAACACAAACTCATGGGGGTCCGCTTGGTTTTCTTGGATCTGCGCTGGGGCCCGCCTGGCGGCGCCTCCAGCGCCGCCCCTGGCGCGCTCCAGCGCCGATCCAAGAAATCCACGCAGAGCGCCGACAAAATATGTTTATGCCGTGGTCGGTTCTTCGACCAGGGTTGTTTGGAGTCCCGAAACGGTGCGGTGACAGACCGCGCGGTGACCTCGGAACCCCAAGGGGCCTCACCGCACGGTCTGTCACGACACGGTCTTGGGACCCCGGAGGCCCCTGTCGCCCGAGACGTCCTCGGAGAGGGACTCGAGTCCCAAAACCGTGCGGTGACCCCGTACCCCCACCGGCTCACCGCACGATGTGGTGCCCACCCCGTTTGGGGGCCCCCGAGTATGAGCGCGGGTCGTCGAACCCCGGGGTGGGGCCCCCGTTCGAGCAAGAAGCACCGGCCGACGACACGCACTTCCACTGGCGCCCTCCGCGCCCGCCCCCCTCCTCGCTCGCCATCGCTGGCGCGCCCGCTCCCCGTGCATGTGTCGGCCTCGCGAGTGCTTTCTCTTTTCGCGGGAGGAGCGGATAAGGGGCCCTGGGACACACAAATAAATACACACAGCTACCACGATGCCCCATATTTCCCCATATTTTCGGGGGTTTTGTCTTCCCCCCCATTTCACATAGTTTCCCATATTTTCCGGGGGATCGACGATGAAATGTGTATTAATTGTGTCTGTGTATTTTTCCCTCCTGAGCAGAGCAGGCAGAAAGACACCACCCGCACTCGCCGTCGCTGGGACGCCCACGCGAGCGCCTTCTTGTTCGGCGTCTCGACAGTGGGCGGATAGGAGGGGGAAAGGGGGTGGGGGTCTGACTCCGGACCTCTGCTTAACGCAAGCGGTTGCAACAATGCGTCCTATCGGGGAGACTCCACCTGCTCGAAACAGGCGGCAAGAATAGCCAAGATCCAAGATCTACTCCACAGGGGGGGGAAGGAGGGGGGGGCGAGGGCCCGCGCCGATCCAAAACAGTGAATAAGAAACGGATCGCCATTCCCCGTGCATGTTTCGGTCTCGAGCGTTCCTTCTGTCCGTTCGCAGGAGGAGGAGGCGGAGGAGGAGGAGGAGGAGCGCACGCGATAAAGGGGGGAGGCGGGCCAGCAGCAACAGCAGCGAGAGGAGGGAAGTCCTGGTCCTCCGCGCCGCCGAACTACCTGAGCGCGAGGAGGAGGAGGAGAAGGAGGAGGAGGAGGAGGAGGAGGAGGAGGAGGAGGAGGAGGAGGAGGAGGAGGAGGGGGAGGAGGAGGAGGACGACGACGAGAGCCTGGAGCGCTCGGCAGCCTGCGCAAGAAGAAGAGGAGGAGGAGGAGGAGGAGCCCCGAGGCTCCTCGCCGGGCGGCACGCCGCGAGGGCGAAGGCGAGCCAGGGCCTGGCCCGCGGCGCCCGCGAGGCTCTCGAGGATAGCGGGGCTGGGCCGCTCATCGGCCCCCAAGTGGTGGGCTCGTTTTCCACCATCACCACCACCACCACAAGAAGAAGAAGGGGGAGGGGGTCCTCCTCCGCATCCTCCTCCTCTCTCCTCCTCCTCCTCCGCCTCCTCCTCCTCTTCCTCCTCCTCCTCATTCCTCCTCGTCCTCCAACTCCTGCTCCTCCTCCTCCTCCTGCTCTTCCTCCTCCTCCTCCTCCCTCCTCCTCCTCCGTCGTCTCCTCCTCCTCCTCCTCCTCCTCCGTCCTCCTCCTCCACCTCCTTCCCCCCTCCAACTCATGGTGGTAAAGGTGGAAAGGTATAACAGACCTAGGACCAAGCCTCGAGCCGCGAAGCCTCGATCCGCGAGCCTCGAAGCCTCGAAGCCTGGATCACCAAAACTTCGGTGGCAACTCATGAGGGAGCCTCCCGTGCCATCTCGTCGGCTCTGGCGAATCGACGCTAATCGACGCTAATTGACGCTAAATCGAAGCTACCTAATCGACGCCAACCATCGCTGAACCGGCGCTACCTCATGGACTCGAGACGCAGATCGACGCTAATCGACGCTCATGACGGAACCAAGAAGGTCTACCAGGTTCCCATGATCCGCTACCGAACAAAAGCTGGAAAAAACTCGATCCTCGATGGTCCCCGACAAGACAAAATGCACATGTCCGAGCGATGCCCCCCCTCCTCCTCCTCCTCCTCCTCCTCCTCCTCCTCCTCCTCCTCCTCCTCCTCCTCCTCCTCCTCCCCTCCTCCTCCTCCTCCTCCTCCTCCTCCTCCTCCTCCTCCTCCTCTCCTCCTTCCTCTCTCCTCCTCCTCCTCCTCCTCCTCCTCCCTCCTCCTTCCTCCTCCTCCTCCTCCTCCTCCTCCTCCTCCTCCTCCTCCTCCTCCTCCTCCCTCCTCCTCCTCCTCCTCCTCCTCCTCCTGCTCCGCTCCTCCTCCTCCTCCTCCCCCTGCTCCTCCCTCCTCTGCCTCGCCTCCTCCTCCTCCTCCTCCTCCTCCTCCTCCTCCTCTTCCTCCTCCTCCTCCACGCCTTAGGAAGGTTAAGGCGCTACGTCCCCGCCTGTGGGTGTGGGCGCGCGCTGTTCGCTCGGCACGTCCAGGGGGGCGGGCGAGCCGCCCGGGCGCGGGGCGCCGCTGGCGGGGGAGAGCTCGGCGCTGCAGGAGGCGCGCCGCTGCCGCAGCGGCGGCCGCCGAGGCGCTCGAGGCGCAGGAGGCGCCCAGGAGCGGGAGGTACAGAAGAAGAAAAAACGGCATCGGCATCGGCATCGGCATCGATCGGCATGATAGCTCCGATCGATCGCTCGATGGATACGGGGGGTCGACCGATCGATCGCACTGGACAAACACAGAGGTCCAGAAGTCCGCGCGGACCTCCGAAAACTTGTGCTTCTGCTGTTTCTTCTTCGTCTTCTTCAAGGAAATGCAGGCTGTACTCGGCCGCGCGGTCCTCGGGGACAGGGGGCGTGTCCAGTGCAGTCACAGCACTCCTCCTCCTCCTCCTCCTCCTCCTCCCTCTCCTCCTCCTCCTCCTCCTCCTCCTCCTCCTCCTCCTCCTCCTCCTCCTCTCCATCCTCACTCCTCGTCCTCCGCCTCCTCCTCCTTCCTCCTCCCTCCTCATCCTCCTTCTCTCCCTCATCTCCCTCCTCCTTCCTCCTTCCTCCTTCCTCATCCTCCTCCTCCTCCTCCTTCCTCCTCCTCCTCCTCCTCCTCCTCCTCCTCCTCCTCCTCCTCCTCCTCCTCCTCCTCCTCCTCCTCCTCCTCCTCCTCCTCCTCCCGGCAGGCTCCTCTGAGACCCGGTCTCTGGGTCTGCCCGCTTCGGCCCCCCCCAGGGCCCGCAGGGGCCTGCCCACTGCGCGCGAGGTCCGTACGGACGCTGGCGTCGACAGCTCAGAAGCTGCCCAGGTTTCGAAAAACAGCATCGGTGGCGAGCGAGGGGGGGAAGTGAGAAGGAGAAGGCC